GATGGCTTGGGCATGGTTTTCACCTATTTATTTTTTGTAGCCTCTCATTAGAAGGTGTTAATAAGAGCCACCTAGTTGATACTTGAAATAACATGTGGAGGTAAAGGGAACAAGAACAAGATAACTGTATTCGATAAACAAAATGAAGACAACTTTTAGGTATCTATTTTATGGTTGACCCTCAAGTGTGGTATATCCCAAGTCTGCAAGGAGGTTGTTTACCTGAAGTGCCTTTTCCATGTTGGATGTACTTGGATGTCTTTTATCCAAGTAGACTCAGATGGTGTGCAAATAGTTGTATGGATTTGGTATTGGAAAACCTCATCGTTCCCCAGGCAATGGGGAGAGTACATAGATGAGTGTTTTCTCTGTCATGGAGAATAAATAGCTGTGAGTTGGTACATTCTTATCAACTGGAGACAATTGACAGTGGATATGTACCACTAGGGTTATGGTCAAGTGCAAGTTCATGCTATATTTGGATCTTTAAGAGTCAGTAGAATGAACCGTATTTGGTAAACCTCTTAAGACAATCTTGCTCCATTTCCTCAGCAGCTCTTGGTTACCAAAGGTGATTCTGGAGCCCCACCTCCAAGTCTCCATCCTGCACAGTTGGCATGATGGAAATGGCTTGAGGTTCTTATTCTTTCAGATTCAGTATTTTCATCCATGCAGTATGATGTAAGTAGGATAAGATGTAATTTGTCAGGTTGCTATGAGGAATAAATAAAGTAATAAATGTTAGTTGCCTTTCACAGTTTCAGGCACATGGGAATCCTCTCCCCCATCCCCAAAGTTAATTGAAAAGATAGCCATCAGCCTCTGAAGTTGAATTGTGCTGAGTGGTTGCCAACATTAAAGACATATGGAGTTATTGTATCTATATCTTTCACTTATCAGCTTTTCCTTGAAGGTTTAATGTATGTTCCTTTGCTTTTAGGCCACATGCTTATTTTCCTGAAATGGTGTCTTCTTGACTTAAAGTACAGTCTTTGCTTTTTTGTTCTTTTTTCATTGCTCTTGCTTAGTGATCCAGTTGTTTAAAGATATCCCTATCCATCCCTATCCTTCCCCCTTCAGATCTGTGGCCCAGACTGGGGGTGGCTTTAACTAACACCACCACTCTGCGTTAGTTAAGTAGAGTGGAATTTCTTATTCTACCTCTGAGATATTGATGAAACCTCTCCCTGATGCACAAATTAAGACTGGGTGTATTTTGCATATTTTCCTAGAATGACATAGTGATTCTGTGGCTAAACCAAGATTAGACTCTACCACTTTAAAAAATCTGACTTTTTGCTTAAAGGGTAAACTGTGTTGCTTCTAAAACTACCAGTTGAATTTAACTTTCAAGTGTACTTTGTATTTAAATCTGATCTTAGCGTTGTTTTGCCTTTTGTCTTGTTTAGATGAGGGTATTTTCTTCACTTCCATGATCCCTAGTGCCTCAGTGAGCTAGGCAGCTAGGTTTTTGATGCTGTCCAGATGCAAATTACGCTATTTATTCTCTTTAGCCCTATTTGTTTATACTTACAATTATGTCTTCCGCTATACTAAGTGCAGTACTCTGCACATAAAGAAATGTATGAGTATGTGAATGTATGGGTGAATAAATCAATATATTTCTATAGTTATTGTTTTAAATGTTTTCTGTCTTGGGATGTGAGATGGGATGATTGAATAGGAAATTAGCCTGTGTGTGTTAAGTTAGTTAAAGTTCTTATGGTACCTTTGTACAAACTGCCCCTTCTGTTGTATGTGTGCTGACCCACGTCATGATTCTCAGCATGACTAGAGGAGTCCTGGTGTGTTTCTGTCCTCACTTGCTCCCTGGGTTGGGCGCCTCTCTGCAGGGTACAACCAACACATTTATATGAAGACCCTCTGACTTTCATTTCCTGGCTGGCTGGGGGTTTTGGTATTGAGTGCTTTTTAGGAGGACAGTAACTTTATCCTACTCAGTGTTTTCGTGAAGCACAGGCCCTGCGAAGTTGAAGATTCCCTACTCTGTTTTGGTGACACTTTTGTGATGCTCTTATCTGTCTCTCTAAAGTCTGATTTAATGAAAATATGTCCTTGCATTGCCACATTCTACAAAGCTTATTTGATTTTTAAAAAATAAATAGTAAATATGTTCGTACATGTTGATTCTAGTGCCCAGTGCATAGTTTCTGCTCAATACTTAGCTATAATTATTACCTTATTTAAACTGCCTTAATCATTCATTCAGTAATCACATGTCCCCTCTGTAGGCTCTTCTCCAGATCTGGGACACAGACGTTACAAAGCTTGGAGCTTGTGTACAAGCAGCAGGCTTGATTGCCTGCCAGTTCACTGGAGAGATGCCGTGCTTGGAGGGTGGTGACTGTAAGGCCCTCCTAGTTGCCAGCCTCTAGGCTTCTAAGGTGCCCTCCCTCACTGTACACCTGGTCAATGCGTGGCACTAGCAAGTGCAAAGGATTTAGTGTTGGATGAGTGTGGATTTGAATCCCAGCTGTGATGTGGGCTAGCTCTGAGCTTCAGTCTCTTCTTCTTAAAATGGGAATAATAGGGTAGCTGCAATGTGTCATTGTTAACTAGGCCCTGCGCTAACTTCTTTACTCTGATTTTTTGAAATCCTCAAATAGCCCTATGAGGTATATCTTGTTAATGACTGTTTCTTATAGATGAGGAGCCTAAGGCACAGAAGGGTGAAGAAACTGGCCTAAGTGGTAAAGCTTTTCGCTGGACCCAGGCCTATTAGAGAACAGAGGCCATATTCTTCACTGTTAACACAATATCATGCTATCTGTCCAGACATGTTAAGATCCCTGTCACACAGGATCAGAGCAAATCGTAGCTATTATTATTATTACTATTAATGTTCTAAAATTCAGGCCTTTCTTCACCACACTGACACTGAGTATTATATATTGTAGCTGTTCAATAAAACTTTATTGGATTTAATTGGTTATGAATCTCATGTGTGGGAAGGTGGTTAACTTTTCAGTCTGTAAGGAGGAATGCTCAATAAAATATCTTAAAATTGGGGAAGTGATGAAAATATAAAATAATAACCAGAGAGACAAGCCAGTTTATGAGCTTCTGTATTGGAAAGCTGGAAAGAAGTTATTAATAAGAATAGAGGCTGGGAGCAGTGGCTCACGCCTGTAATCCCAGCACTTTGGGAGGCTGAGGCAGGAGGCTCACTTGAGGTCAGGAGTTCAAGACCAGCCTGGCCAACGTAGTGAAACCCCATCTCTACTAAAAAAAAAGAAAAAAAAGCCAGATGTGGTGGCATGAGCTTGTAATTCCAGCTAGTTGTGAGGCCGAGGCAGGAGAATCACTTGAAACTGGGTGGTAGAGGTTGCAGTGAGCCCAGAATGCACCACTGCATTCTAGCCTGGCAACAGAGCAAGACTCTGTCTTAGGGAAAAAAACAAGAAGTAGAAGAATGTCAAGCTACAATCTGGTGGTGGACAGCATTTGAAAATATTCTGGCTAGCAAATAGTGTTTTTGAGTAAAAGAAATAGACATGATGAATTGCTCATTTATGTGGCCATCCCTTATAACAATGATGAACAGATAGGAGGGTGTGCAGTCTTAAAGTTTAGAAACAAATTTGTCCTTCTAACGTCCTTCCCTTCTCTTGACACACTGTTGGTAATGGCCAAGATTCTGTCTTGCCTGTTGGAGTTTTGAGCGAATTAAGTTAGGATGTCTTGAAAATAGCTGGGCCAGAAAATGAAGAGGTTTTTTCTCTTTGGAAAGGGGCTTTACTCCAGGGAAGAACACAGCTGTCCAGGAGGAATCCGGTACTGTTGAGTCCAGAAACTCTGACTCTCTCCACCCTTTCCCCAGTGTTTCACTAGTAGAAAAAGAATGTTATTAAAGTCTGTGCTGAAACAAAGCTGCACACTGAGACATGGCTGCCAGAACTTTTATTTTTATGGTTCTCTTGAGTTTGGGGAGAAATAATTAAATGTTGCAAATGTAAAAATTGGGAGTAACATTTTCCATTTTGCCAATAATCATTCCTTTGGTTTTCCCTTGGATTTTATTTATTTCTTTCCCCTTTTGGGCATTGCTCTGTCATAGCCTGCATGAGTGTTATATCTCTAGGAAGGCCAGAACACCAGGCTTGGATGTTACATAGCCAAGAACATTGTATAGCAGTGCCTGGTTTTGCAACAAGACAGGTCTGTAGGAAATACCACTGCCACTGCAGCCCAGCACATTGAACTGATTGTGCTCAGGAATGAGATACTTCACCAGTAGGCTTACTGGAAGGCCTGTCTTTCTGCAACCATGATTTGCAGATGGGCTTATGATTGCCTTGCTGTTGGAAACATGGGAAATATTGTTTTGGGGGATTCTACTTTAAAATAATGGTACTCATCAATGAACTGGGAAATTATAATATCAGAATGTTAAAAAGGTCTTCAAAAGATTTTAGGAAATCTTGAAAGACAAATGTCCTTTCTAATTAAGCCAGTAGGTCAGTCTTCTTAGGGTTTCTGTAATAATATAGGACTTTGGAGTAGAGTGGCCTTTCCTGACAAGTCTAGGGTTGATTTATGTATCTGCTAAGGTTTATTAAAATAAAAAAAATTAAATGGCATATTCTATAAGGAAAATGAATGTTAATGGTATTTTAAGCTTAAGCAATAAATAATGGGTATCACATAATTTTTATTTGTTATTCTTTACCATATTTCAGGATCTTTTTTACTGTGAGGTTTCAATAAAATGCTTACAAATGTATTTTGCTGGACAGGCGCGGTAGCTCATGCCTATAATCCCAGCACTTTGGGAGGCCAAGGCGGGTGGATCATTTGAGCTCGGGAGTTCGAGACCAGCCTGGCCAACATGGTGAAACCCTGTCTCTACTAAAAATATACAAAATTAGCCAGGTATGTTTGCAATCCTAGCAACTCAGGAGACTGAGTGAGGAGAAGTGCTTGAACTCGGGAGGCAGAGGTTGCAGTGAGCTGAGATGGTATCATAGCACTCCAGCCTGGGAGACAGAGGGAGACTCTGTCTCAAAAAAAAAAACAAAAAAAAAACAACTTTTTGCTTTATTGCAGGCAGGATGCATTTCAAGAGGCTTATTTCCCCTTCTCTGTCTGATCTATCTGCTAAGTATCTTGGCTTTCTATTTCCCATAGCCCATCTAATCTTCATGTAGCTGTGAAAGAAGTATATCTTTGAAAGTAGAATTTTGAGTAAAGAAACCTGGAAGTTAGGGACTGATAACCAGGTTGCATGGCTCCTTGTTAATTTCAGCTTCAAGCCATGTTTGCGTCTTCTTGGGCCCTTAATCTACTGTTGAGCATGTCTTTTTCTTTCTTGGTGTGAATTCTGCCTCTTGGTATAGGTGGTATTTGTTAACATAACTCTGACATAAACGTGGAAACATTCTGTGTCTCATTGTCGTTGTCTATAAAATGGGGTTATAGGGTATTTCCTGACCTACTTAAGGTTACTGTGAGGATTAGTGAATATAGAAAGAATAAGAAGTATAGTATAAGCATAAGGTGACATACAATGAAGTATAACCTTTATTATTGAATTTCACTTTGTGACCTTATAAAATTTGATTCCTTTCAGCTCTATCAACGACAGCATCTTGCTTAGTCATATTTTTTTTTCTTTTTAGAAAACTTAGGTGCTTGTCCAATGCCGCAAAGCAAGTTTGGGTAAGGTAGGGTAAAAGCTCCAGTCTCCTAAGTCCCACAGCAGCAGGATGCTCAGTTGTGATTTCTGCCTTACTTTACCACTTGGGTAATCTTTCAGTGAAGGAGGTAACTATCTCTTCTTTCTTGGGTTAAAATAATACCTTAGTAGAAGCAAAGAACACTGTCACTTTAGTTCTTTTCAACCTTCATTTGCCGTCGCCCTCTGTGTCTAGGCATGATGAGCTAGCCTGAAGGTGACAAGACAAGTATGATAGATTCTGGCCTCCAAGGGACTGCCAAATCTAGTGGAAGGAGGTAAACAAATAAACAGACAGACATTTGGGAGTCTGAGTTTCCGGTGCTGCTCCTTACACACGTGGGCAAGTCATGTCTTTCTTTGGGCTCAGGTTTCCTAGCTGCACGTTAAGGTCCTAGAACAAATGTGCAGAATGATCATGATCACTTGAGGCCGCTTCTAATTTGTCACCATCTATGGGTCTGTGATAATCCCAAGCTGTGTGCTTGCCAACTGAAACTGAAATAAAGGAAAGCGATTAATTCATTTCACAAACTGAAATGAAGGAAATCTCTTAATCTGATGACATATTCTTCCTAATTATTATTTGTGATAAATTTCACAGACTACTTTTTCCAACATTCAGCACTACCGTTGTATTGTATTATATTGGAACATAGATGGCGATACTTGTTCAGTTAACCAAATGGTCAACTGCAAAAACAGCAGAAGCGGACATCTCATGATGATTTAATACAGGGCACAAAAATCAATGGTAGCATTAACTACTATTCGTGGCCTCTCTGTAGTGTTTTTAAGCTACCTTTCTTTTTTCCTAAAAAGGACCATAGAATAATAGCAGCTAGTATTTATTTAGTTTTTTCCTGTGTGATAGGTAAGTGTTGTTTTAAGTGCTTCCCATATAAAAACTCATTTAATCTTTACATTTTGAAGCAGGCATTATCTTCCCTAGAAGATAATGTTTAGAGATTAGACAACCGAGGTACAAGAAATTAAGTAAAACTTATTCATAATTACACAGCTATTAAGAGGTGGAGGCAGGATTCAAACTGAGGCAGTCAGCCTCAGGCAGTCTCATGCTTCGCGGCTGGACGATCGCCTAAATGAAAGCTGCTCACTCCCAGCCCACTGAGAACCTGGAGAAACTGGCGTTGTTATGCGGCCACAGGCTAAGAAAGCAGTGTATCAGCTTACTTGTGGCTCTAAACTTGGCCAGATCCTCAATTCTAAGGATTCTGAGAACTATGCACAGGTGTTCTCAGTCTGGATTCATGTCTCAGGTGACTCATGAACCCTTGGAAATTGTGTGCCAAATGCATTTATGTGTCCATGTGTGTTGTGTTGGTATGACGGGCTAGGCGACTTAATGGTTTTCTGCACAATATCAGAAGAGCCCCCACTCTGTCACTGGCAGGATCCTAGCTGTGCAGGCCTTTGTCAAATCTAAATCAAGATTCCGGGCTGGGAGTTAGGATATAAGTACGCATTGAACATGTGAGTGGCTATAGGAACCTGGAAGAACCAGGCTTTCCAAATGTCCTCCCCTGCTTGGAGCTCTGCTGCTGTGGTGCAGTTGTACAATGTCCTTTTTTCTCTTTGAAGCTTTCCAAATTTTTCAATCTTTTTTTTTTTTTTTTGCCTCCAGATTTTGGAAAGTCAAAATTTCAAGTGTTTTTTTTTTTTCCTTTTGTTTTACCTCTTCCTTTCTGGCTTTGTTCAGAAATCAGACATCAATAAGCTTTTTATTACTCATCCAATCTGAGTTCAGTTTCCCATTTAACTTTTATGAATGTTTTCTTTGTTAAGATGGGTTCTTTCAAACCCTGTAAAGAATGTTTTACTATATACTAACATAAAAATGAAGTGTTAAAACTAGAAAATCCAACTGGAAACACAAGCATACATATACATTTTCCTCTAGGCAATTTAGCTTCGTGGAAATTGAGTGCATCTGCAAGGGAATTTTTTTTTTAAATGTTTTTGGTAGTTTTGTTATTTGTATTACCTGTTTGGTCCTAGTCTTTATATTTGATTACTCTAGGTAGGTCTTTTTAGGACTGAAAATAGGTCACACATATTATGCTGGTCCCGATATTAGAGAGATGATAAAATTCTATTACAAAGTAATTTTGTCATGCTTTTGGTCTAAATGAGTCATACAACTAGCATGTCCGATGTCATTTTTTGCTGTAATCTTGAAAACTTTTACTGTCTATCCCATCCTTATATACTGCAACAAACTTCTATATTATTTCAGTTGCAGTTCAGGCATTGCCCCTGACAGGCTTAACTTCAAGTCTCAGTTCTGTTACTTAGAAGCCATATGACTTTGGGCAAGTTTATTTAATTGTTTGGAGTCTTTTTTTTTTCCTACGAAAGGGGAAAACAATAATTATATATTGCTCAAAGGGTTATGAGGAGTGAGGTCAGGCATGGTTATATGTTTCACTCTGGCTTTTTGCAGAGTAAGCACTTGATAAATGATGCTCATGTTGTTGATTGTCATCATCATCATTAATATGTGTAATATGCTAGGTATACTGCTTGGCATATAGTGAGCATTAAATACATATTTATGGGATTTTATTGTACATAGTGCTTGTGACTGAATCAGAGGTTTCCAGGGATAGCATTTTGCTCAGTAGATGAATAAGAAGGACATCATTGAACAGAACAAATGATGACTCTACCTTTAAGTCAACAAATTTCGTAGTGAGGTGGTCTTGAATGCAAACAATGAAATGTGGCATGTCTAGTGGAGGAAAAAAACCTAACAATCTTGAAGCTGTTTTAAGGAGTAGCAGTTGCCTAGTCACCCCAATTGCCAAAATTTTCCTTCTCTCCCTTGAATGAGGAGAAGAGAGGGGCAGAAAGGTTACTGGTTGTGTTCATTAATTTTCTTTCAAGAACTGCCACATGTCACCAGCGGTGCCCCCCCCCCACCCCAGCACCAGTGCTGTTTGGCGGTCTTCTCTTTGCCCCAGAGAAGCCAAAATGTTAAATTGGTGGAGCTTACTAGATCTGACAGAGAAATTCTTCACGTCTGGCCTGGATGTCTAAGTAAATTTGGTGTACTCCTTGTGGTCTGGGGCAAATGCTGGAAGCTATTAGAATTCTGAACAAAACCCTCCATTCAAAGACTGCTCGTTTCCTGCTGGGGTAATCCAAGTATCAAACATTAAGAAATATGGGCAAGGCAAATGTGGCTGCTCAATGCAAAACCCACCAAGGTGTCTACGACATCTCCCCAAATGACTTAGAATGTTACTTCCACTTGATCATCTTGAATAAGTGGTTTCTTTTGAAACCAAGAGCTCTACTTTTCCTACAGCAAGTATAGATGAGAATTGCCTGAATTTCCTCTTGTCAGTCAAATTTAGAAGAAGAAAGCTTTCTCCTTCCCTTGAAGTTCTAGGGACCTAAGCTTTTTTTTGTGTGTGTTGTTTTGTTTTGTTTCCTTCTCCTTTCCTTATGTGTTTCCTTCTGAAATTAAAAAGTATCTTTCATTAGTTATAGTTATGGATCTATTGTTTTAGGCTAGGCCTGCTCAGTGGCTGGAAACAATTTTATTAAGAAGGCTTTATGGAGAAGCTGTGGTTTATCTCATGAAATATCTGAGTTTGTCATAAATTGTTTCCTTTCTGTACGGAAATTTATTTTCTGTGAAATTCCAGGTGTTCTTTTACATAGGCTTGAAAGGAAAAGATTTGATAGTCGGTTCAGGTTTTTTTCCCTAAGAAGAATATTTCCTTGTGATGGATTAATTGAGGATGAAATCAGATTAACATAGGTGAAATCACTGGGTAGGCATCGTGAAAACCATTATTTTAATTAATCTAGCTACAGTGTTTATCCAGCCAGCTATGCAGCTGAAGGCTGACATGTAGTAGCTGCTACACTGTTTGGCTCCTATACTTAGACTGTATGGGGACTCCTTTCTTAGATAGTCTCACTCCTGCTAGACTGTAAACTTCTGGAGAATAGGGACAAAGCCTTGTTCATCAGAGTATGCCTGGTACATTCCACTCTAATAGACATAGAATTAATACTTTTAAAAAGTGAACACATGAATAAGACATTTGTACAAAACTTGAGTGTTAGAACAGGTTTTTTCACAAAACAAAGCACTCATGGAGGTTTACTGGTTTTCCTACTATGTCTTTGACCTTTTCCTTAGCTTGTGTCTATGCTTTGTTTCCTGTCTATGAGATGGTGGAGACGGCGAGTCCGGTTTTCTTTCATCATTAAGGGATTCAACTGCATTACTTAATCGTCCCAGTCGTGTTCCTTTCCTGCTAGAATCTGTGTATGAGATGTAAAATCCATGAAAAGATAATGTTGAACAGGAAAAATTAACCTACTTTGCTGACTTTTAAGGAGTTCTAACTGTGCATGATAGCAGGCGACTACGTTGTCAGTAGGCAGCAGACCTGTGTTATGTCAGGGGTAACAAGGTGGCTCACTTGTGGAGAGTTTTTTGTCTTTTCCTTCAAGTTATGCTGACCTCTCCGATGAAAATATTCCGCATCTAATAAAAGTCAGAGCAAATTTATGGCCCTGCCCCTGACCACTTGTCCTTTATCCTTTAAAAGAAAAAATAAATCTAGGATAAGATCCATAGGTTACTGTTGGACCATGGAAATGGTGGGCAGGGGCCAAATATTCCACCTTCCTTAGTCTGCTTATCTTTTCCTGATTCCGGCTGTCTGGGGGATGCTGAAGCTTGTGGCATGAGGGTTACTGCTGAGCGTGGTCATGCCATTAGTTCTATTTGGAAACAAGCTGTTGCTGTCCCTGCCTGGAGGGCCACACGCCTTGGCACCACACTGAAGAGATCTCAGGCGTGGCTGAAGTGAAGCTGCTAATCAAAAAGCAGCCATGACAGGTCAGGACGAATCAAGCACAAAGGAAGACATTCTGTAATTAAAGGTCTGGAGAAATACTCGTGCGTTTGTTTGTCTGTTTTTGTTTTTCCCAACGCTGTGATAATTGCTCTTTCTACCTGTTCCTGTGGGTTTTCTGTCATTTTATCACGCATTCAACAAGTATTTATTAAGTCTCTGCTTTCTGTGTGCTGTTTACCTATGTGCTGTTCACCATACTTCTGGGATTACTTAAAGCAGTTCGTCAATGAATGTGCTACTCAGGAATGAGTCGAGTCCTTAGGGATCTTGTCACCTAGTATGAGAGAGAGAAATATGAGGCAGAGGGAGGCTGGTCCATAGGATATGGCAGGAGGCAGAGCCAAGGGCTCCAGAGTCTGGTAGACTTGCGATCAAATTCAGGCTCTACCACTTACGAACACGTTTGGCTTTGGGCAAGTTACTTAATCTTGAACTTCAGCTTCTAAATCTTTGAATTTGTGCGTAATACATACCATCCTGGAAGGGTTGCTTCAGAATTGAATTAAGCTGTGAAAACGGCCTGGCCTAGAGTCAGCACTTGACAAATGGCTTCTCTTATGATTTTATTATCTCCAACGAGGTACTGATTACCATGTGAGTTCAGGGGAGGCAGTCACCACCCCCTGGACAGGAGTGAGAGGATCAGCAAGGGGATCAGGAGTTTCAGGGGGACATGCATCTGCACTGAACTTGGGAGGATGAGTAGGATTTAGGAATGTAGTGAAGGAGAATAGAAAAGAAACTGTATTCAAGACATGTTTTCACACGTTTTGTTTTTTAGCAAATGGGCACTTATTTTGCATCATTTTTATTTGCAGTATATGAATCAAATTGTGAGATTACTTAAGCCTTGGCTTGAATCCAAGGGCCAATAGTAGTGTATTTCTTTCTTCTGCTTTATTTTGTTGTTCTCCCCAACCTTCTCTGAACAGCATCTATTAAGTGATTTTAGAGCCTCCTGACTTGGCTGTGTTGGAATCTCTGCATTAGTGGGGACACCCTCCCAATTCCTTGTTAGGATCAGATGTGTTTTAGAGAAGGTGTCTGAATTCCAAGTTCTCTGTTGTTTCTTGGAACCACAAAAGCCTAGAGCTGTTACAGCAGGATGTCCCTAATGTGCATGGCAAGCCCTCGACAATGATTATGGCAGTTGTTACCATTATCGATTATTTGTAACTTCTAATAATCCAGAGTTTAAATTTGTCAAAGACATGCTGGTCCTTAGTGAGTCTGAATATACTGGTATCAGCCCAGTGTCCTTCCACGCTGGTCTGCCTCTCACTGTGACTGGGCCATCTTTGGCCTTTGTGCCTGGCCTCTATGCCAACCTGCCGAGTCCTTGAGCTGCTATGCACCTTACTATTTCTTGTCAGGCGTGTTAAGAAGGGGTCTTGTGTCCTACAGATCAAGGAAGGACACAAGCCCCCTTCTTAGCAGGCCTGACAATAGGAAGCGCTCACCACAAACCTGATTCACAGTACTTTCTCCTCTTTGTACTTTCTGATCTGAATCTTCCTCTCTTCCATACACATTTTTTCCCCTAGTACAGAACTTAGCTTTGTGGTGCTGGGTTTTTAAGGAACTCAACTTGTATCCACTGTAGTTATAATCTTGCTGGTCTTTCTCTGTGTTACAAAACAGCACTCATGGAAGGCCTCATTCAATTATTCTAGAACACCTGTTGAGCTCCTAGTAGAGGCAGAGTGCTGTCCACCAAATTTGTGGCTGATGGCACAGAGAATGATCAAAATAAATCTTGCAACTGAACATAGTTTCTTTAGACAGAGACAGAAGTAAGTCAGTCAGTCCAGATAAGTATCCTAACTCTTATTTTCTAAATGTTAATGCTTGACTAGCATGTTATAAAGGTAATTTGTTTTTAGTTGTGCCACATAATTATATACTCTGTACATAATATGCTTTTGAAATTATTATTTAGTGCACAAATATTACAACAGAAACTGAACTCAAAACACGAGGAAAAATGTGTGGGGGCTCGCCATTTGTACAAGTAAAACTTTTAATATATTTGTGTGTTCGCTCATAGTTCTTATCCATGAATTCACAACTTTTGTACACAGAGGAAATCATACTATAGATACCATTTACAATTGGGTATTCTGTTTTTCCCCTTCTTCTCTCCACATACATCATAATATTATTCATGCATGCTCTAATGATCTGCATGCAGACACTTAGCTGTTCTTAGAGAGCCCATAATTTGGACCTGAGCATCTAGAGGAAGCTGCTGGCCCCAGCCCACTTAGGCACTTTCTTTTCTTTTTGTGGTGAGAGTAAGACTTAGGGATAGTAGCAAGAATGCCCAGACTTTATCGTCCAAGGCTATGCTAGTATTTTCATCAGAAATCTAGAGGCATGGCCTATCAAAGCCTCTTTGTCTTTCTCATTCAAAGAAGAGAATTTAGAAGGAAATATTTGAAGGACTCTGAGACGCCCAGGAGAAAGGTTCCAACACTATTACTTTTAGTAGACCCAGTTAGGTGTGGGTATATATTAATAGGAACTAAAACACATAGCAATTTGGTGTATTCTGGAATGCTCTTGACTTGGGCTGAATACATTTGATGCTCCAGGTGTTCTCGCTGTCTCTATTTCTGTCTTCTGCCTGTCATTCTTCTCTGAGGGTGAGTAGTATCCCTTCCCAGACTAAGGATGGAAATGTTGAGGGGTATAAAATGATAGCTTGAAGCTTTCCAAGAGTCCCCAAAGTGTGCAGAATGCATATGAAATTATCCAAAAGGAGTAGAGGGAGCTGGAAGTGCCACTGGGAGTGAGAGGCAGGGGAACCAGTGGAGTAGAGAATAACATGGGTTGAAGTCACAGAGCAAGAGTGCAAAACTTTGCTCTGGCACTAGCTTGGTGGCGTTGGGCAAATTACTTAATGTTTCTGAATCTTTCCATGAGGAAGATAATTACAGTGCCCACCTCACTTGGTTGTGGTCGGTATTAAACTGGATAATGTAAATAATGCACTTAGCACAATGCCTGGCATAAATAATAAGCACTCAATAAATGTGAGATGTTATTGTTGTTATTTCCTGCTTCACATTATAATTTTATTGCTTTCCAGACTAGTGTCTCTGAACTCAGGTAGTAGTGGAGTCTGTGAGCTGTTTTCAGTATTTCAAAATCTATGAAAGGTGACAGTTCTGGTCCCCATAATAAGCACATGACAGATGGAGTCTTTGAAACATGTTACCCACAGGGGAAGAATCCAGAAGGGGTCCATTGTGTTGAAAAGTTGAGCCCTTGAGCTGAGGAAGTTAGCAAGTGCTTCAGTGAAAGCTTGTGGGTTTCCAGTAATAATGGGAGTAAATAGAGGGATATCATGAGCAAAAAAATCTTGATTGGTTGCTATGAGGGATCCTTCTCCTGCAGAGCATCAGAAGTTTTTGCACTCTGGAGTCCCCAGTTGCTCTGTCATGTTTACCAGGTTGTAGAGTGTGTTATCACTGCCAAGCACCTTGGAAGCAGTGAGAAAACTACTAGACAAATGGAAACCGGTTTCTCTATCCAACTTGGTAGAACATTTGCTCCGGGCAACCAGACAGACTCCAGGAGACATTTGTCTTTACAGTGCCTTTTTTGTAAAGCTGTAATTTAAACTGACATCACTGGATTTTGACATTGCAACAAGGTCTCTGTAGACGTCACACTATGTTCATTTTCCCATGCTCATCCCTACTGGAGATTGATGGGTTTACACCAACATGGAAGCTGGTTGGAATGGAAACCATCCAGAAAATGATTAGGGAGCTTGAAGCTCTCTGAAACTGGGCATAGTGTGTATTAAGTCATTACTGTTTTCATGAAACTTGTCTTAGCTAGGGTCTCTTAACTACTTGTTTTCTAGTTTTAAATAATGAGTCACTAATTTACACTAATGAGATGCAGTTGAGATTAAACACCAATCTTATACTGCGTTTGTCAAAGTATAAGAGCTTACCTGAAATGTAGCTTTGCAAAATACTCTACTAAATAAACTTGGTGGAGAAATAGCAACAAACAAACAGACTGGTTTCAGCAGAAACTAACAGACACACCTGTGAAGGAATTCATGTTTAATATTGGGGTGGCCTGTTGTAGGCCCCCTTAGTAAACATTTAAATTTCACCTTCCCTGGTAAATTTGAATACTTATGTGTCTGTTATGAAATGCTATACATATCCTCTTTTGATTTTCTGCCTGTGAATTCTCTACTATGAGAATTATTTCTTAAAAATGGGAAGTGGCAAGGCATAGTAGAAAGAATATAGGCATTGGTGACACACAGATTTAGCCCAGCTCCCAGTTGGTGGCCAGGTAAGTTCTTTCACCTCTTTTTGCCTCGATTATTTTTTTCTCCCTGCAACATGCGGGTGGTAGTACTCATAGGGTGGTGCTCTCCAAACACTTAGCAGAGGTGATAATGTAAGTAGTGAGCGTAGCGCCTGACATATAGTTGCTGTTTCCTAAAGGATAGATTGAAAGATATGCATACCACCCGGTAGAATTCCTCTCAGATTTGTTCAAGGCCACCCAGCCTTTCTTGGCCTTTTCTCCTGTGATTGGTTAGCGTGTGTTCTTGAAGGCAGTCTGATTTTATCGTTGGCTCAGAAAGCGGGGAAATATTTAGGAAGCCAAGCCTAATGTAAGAGAACTTATCTATTTTACTGTAGGATCAAATACAAATGGTTTTTGGATTATCTGTTACTTCTCTTCATTAGTGGTGCTAATGGAAACAATTATCTTCATAGACTTTCTTAGTCACAATCTCTTGGTTTCCTCAAATCCCACAACAGCAAGAATATGTTGTGGTTTTTATAATCTCTTTTGGCTCCCCAAACCCAAAGGACAGTGAGAGGGTGGGAGATGATTTGAGAGGATATTTACATTCCCAGGATTTTCAGATATATTTATGATTTTGTTTTCTTGGAGATAGCATTCCAATAGAGAGGTATTCTGTTTTCTCTTTTTCTCTTCTCTCTCTTCTCCCCAAATCGAGGTAGTAAGTGATGGGAGAGACCTGCTATGACCTGCTGTCACCAGATCCTGCTATGATTTCCCTTTGTACTCAGTTCTGGAGTCATCAAGGCTGCATGGAGACATGTACCTTCCACTGATACGTTTGCTCCTTGATTCAGGGCTGAGTGCCTGTTTGAGTGATTCTGGCTACGGCTAAATGGTGTTTCTGTTTCCAATGGTATTGTAAACTGTAGAGTAAGAATTTTTTGTTGTTGTTGTTGGGAAAGCTTGTTTTTCTTCTTAGTGTATTACCTCCCACTCTACTCCTTCAACCTATTCTTTAAAATACAAAACAAACAAAAACTTGTATTGAGGCAACACACAGAAGGAGTGAGCAGGACTAGGCTGGAGTCTTATCCTGACATGGTAGAATCCTGTTACCATCTCTTTGTAGACTAATTTAAAGTGTTTTGACTGATTTATATAAATCTCTCAGTCTGTTGATGAAATCAAAAGAAACAGTATCATTAAAAACTCACAGGATTTGTTCAGGCAGAATATTCTTTATTTATGTAAAATTCATTATCCTATCTAAAAGGATGTCTTGAAATAGCAGAAGATTTTTATTGTTTTTTTCCAAGTAATACATGGTTCAAGAAAAAAGAAATTTTAAAAAGCCACACTAAGAGCAAAACTAAAATAAGCATGAATCTTAATTTTAACAGACTACAGTAGTCCATGGGAAGTATTGCCTGCCTTGAATTCAAAACCGTTGCAGTGGTTTTGATTGGTTTTTTTACTTGGAAGTTCTGGAATGTATTTATAGATCTTGACCTCAGATACTTCTCCTGACTCAGAAATTGTAAAATGTTTTGCTAGAATAGTCAGCGGTGAGAGACCGCTACTGCTGTACATTGGGCCCAGGGCTAACGTGTTAGAAGCTGGTCTTGTCATCATGATGCTGATGCCAGTTTCTTGTTCATGTAAAAACATTTCAAAATGGTCAAGACATTCTCTAAGTACAAGATAGTTATTATTGAGATATGCTCGTGAATAAATTGATGAGAGGAACTTGAGGTAAAGGAAATGAAGGAGAGAAGTTGCATTTTTCCTGCATAACTACTCTCTTGTTTTAGAACATAAATAGTCCTTTGGCTTATTTTCAAAGTGTGGTATGTTTCACTTTTGTTCAAATTGGTCAAATTCTCAATGTAAAAGCCATTTAAAACATTTCTTTTTCCTTCTTTTTTGAAGGTTGCTTATTTTGGCCTCTTAAAGATAATTAAGAGTTGTAATTTGTGAGGATTTTGATGACTTTTTTGGCAGTGGTAGTGCAGGACAGGATACACAAATCGTAGCATCTGCTTATGAGCAAGGTCTCATAGATCACTTGTCCAACTTTCCATCGAGGGCTGAGATGGCTGGTCTCTGTCATCTGTTCTTCCCACTTCTGCTGGTTACATTATGGAAAAAGGATTTCATTGATGAGTGAGGTGTACTTCCACTTCTGAAATACAAAAGTCATTAAGCTAGGGAGCATTTCCTTCATTTGATACCTGCTGAACACTCAGTAAAAATTGATGAGCAAACGAATGATGAATGAGTAAGGTCCTGGGGCTGATACCTACTTCTTAGAGTTGTTGAGCCCCTCTTGAAATTTTTGGAGGATGATAAATGTGTGCCCTTGAACTTTCCTGGTCCGGGCCAAACAGCCCCAATTTCTCCATCATCTTTGGACATCGTTTCTTCATTTTCTCTTCTTGCTCCCTACAGTGCAAGTTTCATTTTGTCAGTGTTTTTTTATAAAATACTGTAAAGTTATCTGAATGAAGTAGGCCAGGTAGAGTCTGATGAGTGTAGAGTATGGTGGAGCATTTCTCTTAAGGTTCTGGGTACTGTTATTATCCTAACAATGAAACCAGCATTTGCTGCGCCTTTTGGGGTTACCATGCCTTAGGTGAGTAATGGAATGGCCTAGAGAACAGCCTGAGGCCAGCTGTCTTGGTTTGAATTCAGACTCACCATTTATGAAATGTTCGACTCTGGACAAGTTGCTTAACCTCTTTGTAAACTTGCCCTCATTTGTAAAGTTGAGGATAATGATAGTACTTATTTATAAAGTTATTAAAAGAAGTAAATAAATTAGTTTGTGCCAAGTGCCTACAAAAATGCCTGGAGTGAAATAAACACACTGTGGTAGCTTTCACTGAACTTACAATGAAAAACATCCATATCTTACTATGTGAAGTGCAGTTAATTTTTTCAGCAAGTCTTTAGAATTAGACAGGGCTATGTTTAAATCTTAGCTCTGCTGTGAGTTTTGGGGCAAACTGCTTCGCCTTTCTAAGCTTCTGTTTCCTCATCTGTTAAAAGGGCATCAAAGAATAAACTCAGTTGAATTTATGAGCCTTAATTAAGATCTTTGAGGGCAGAGCCATGGTTTACACTTTGCTTTTTTTTTTCTTTTTTAACTTTATCTGGTATGTCATGTTTATAGTCACTGCTAAATTAAAATAGTAAATATTTAAACTGAGTTTTCCCTTCAGTCTACCTTGTTGTAGAAAAATGAAATTCTTCTATGTTACTTAAAACTGTACACTCACAAATTTATGGTGGTGTTTTGCCTGGTTGTTCTGAAGAATGTATTCTACTTGCCACCGTGAACTGGGCTTCAGGAAAAATAGGCTTCCTTGATCACTTCTCTCCTCATTAACTACTGTCTGGAATTTCGAGGGAATACATAGGCTGGTAGCCACATTGCCTACTAGTCTTGCATATGGCCTGTGAGGTGGGTAAGCAATCAGGTGAGTGACAAAGGTTATAGTCAATTTTCCTGGCACTCTGGGATTTATTTTTGTGTCCTTGAAGCTTTAAGCAAGTCAGTTTTAAGGTTGTTGAGACAGTGGGAGACTATTTTTAAAAATGGTTTATAATTATTAATATTTTCAAATCTTGGTGGGATTTTAAAGGTGGGTTAAACTGCTAAAGTGAATATAAGTTAAAGCCAGTTAAATAGAGGAGTCCGTCGTCCATTCTGTCTTTGGTGTGCTTAGGATTTCATAAATTTTATGGCTTTCAAAATCTTTGCCTTGTTTTGAATGTTTCTAATAAGATGGAGTGAAATGGCTTACACCTCATGAGACATGGAACCGTTACCCAGGAATGCTGCTTGGCGCACATATAAAGAAAGCACTGGTCTATTGATTCATAAAAAATGTGTGGCTGATTTTCCTGGGACATGTGCATTATTTTCACAGAAGAATTTCATTTTTTACTTCCTCCCACCCTGTGCATCACTTGCACACGTTTGCAATTCATCAACTGTGATTTCCAAAACTTCTGCCCCCTCCTCTCCCTAACCACCCCCATCCAACTACCTAAAGAGAAAGATATTAGATGGGGAGGAGGGAAATTTTCTTAAATGCCTCATTTTTGTGCCTATAAGGGGCATGGTGAATTTGAGAAATGGTCTGAATATTAGCCCAGATGACTCAATGCAATTATGAAACAAATTGGAAGCTGTTTCCATGAAAGGGAGTATACATGCATGTGTTTTCATGAAAGAGTGTGTGTGTGTGTGTGTGTGTGTGTGAACATGTGTTTAGGTCAACTCTTTGATTTGTTCTCTTTCTTCTTCTTTTTATTGTTTCAAGGCTATATTTTAGGTTGGCTGTACAGAAATGAGGTTGCATTGTAGAGCCTCATCCTCTAAACCCAAAATACAGCAAGTATAAGACTGCTTAGCGCATCCAGTGAGAATCTCATGTATTATACTCTTACTTGTCATTGAGCTGCCAGATAAAAATGAATAGCTTTGTCTTAGAAAGCAATTACTCTTCTGCAATGAAAACAACATTTTAAAAGCTCTACCTGGTATGCTATGTGCATTATTTTTCCTTCTGAAAAAACTTTCTTAGAAAATGAGGGCATGAAATGATTAGTGCTAACTTTCTCTTTCACATGTCCAACTTAAGATTTTCTAGTGAGGCAGTTATTTCCCCTTACATGCTTGGAGTAATGGGAAGTGCCTGGCTTTCAGTTTTGTTCATATTCAGCTCTCAAGACCCAAAGAACTAATAACTTTGCCTAAAGTTGAAAGAAAAATCCCTCTGGGCACAGAGTTAAACTCCTCTGGGTGGAAGGCCATAGTGGTTAAAAACGTAGGCTTCAGAGCCAGATCAACATGGATTCAGGTGTGCCTCTGCCATCCAGTGTGTGACTAGGGCAAACTGCTGAATCCAAGTCTCAGTTTCCTCATCTGTCTGTTAGGGATCATGATGCACGCCACCTGACGTTGTAATGGTTGCACGACAGTGTGTATAAGGCACTTGCGTAAGATCTGGCACTTGGCAAGAGTAAAATGCGTTTTAGCCTATACTTTTTACTCTTCATTTGTAAAATTGTAGTAAAGGGCTTGGCCCTGGAGGGAGTAGGATGAGGTGGTGTTTTCAGGAAGGTAGCACAAGAGTACAGGGAGGACAATAGACATGTATAGGACAATAGACATGTATATCTTACTCAGTAAGATAATGGCATTGCTTCTTACAGCAGGCCAGAGGAGACCTCTATGTTTTTCTTTACTAGAGAAGATTTAAAGGATATTGATTTTTTAAGGGAAGATTTATATTTCAATTTTAAAGAAGAAAATTTATCAGCTCCTATATTCAGAAGAAACAATTTATTAAACTTTTTTTGGGGGGGGTAACAGTAAATGAATGAGACTGGTCCCATTTGATGTATGCTGTCAAAGTTTATAAACTATCTGATGAATTAGTAAGAACATATCAAGACAAAGAGCCTCCTTGTTAATGTGCACAGGTGAGGCTTTGCCGGCTGCTTGTGGGTGAGGGTAAAACTTTCCTTAACCTCAAGCCTGGATTCTGACCACAGAAACATCCCTCCTGAGTGAGTAGTGCTTCTAGAGTACTTTCCTCCAAGGACCTCTCCGGCATCTGGCTCAATCGCATGCCATCTTTTTCTCCTTTACATCTGCTTCCTTGCCCCACTTTGGCACCCAGCTAGAGTGTGGACAGATGGTGTGGCCTTGGGGACTCCAGAAAGGCCTTGCTGTCATTCAGCAGCACGGAGTGTATAGCAGGGTCTGCCAGGGGAGAACCAGGGAAGTGAAAGGGCCTTATAGGACTCATGTGGAATGCTTGTGAATGCTTTATTTCCAAATATCCCTGAGCATTCGCAAGCCTTTTTATATCCCTTTATTTCCATTTTGCTTTGACAACACCATTACCATTCCTTGGCTACGAGGAACTGATTGGAAATAAACCTAATTGTTATTTGCTTAACAGTTTCAAGATCTGCAGCTTGCAGCAATCTCCTGACAGTCTTTGTACATTTTCTCTGTCCCCTTCTAATTTATTCACCACATTGTAGCTGGAGTGGTTCCTTTTTTTTCTTTTTTCCCGGAAACAGAAATCTAATCATGAGTCTTCTTGGTTTAAAACTTCTTCACAGCTGCCATTTGCTTACAGGCTAAGGGCTGGCTTGGCTTACAGGACTCTGTGGGTCTGGCCTCTGCTAACTTTGCTCCTCAGCACCAACCTATCCATCTTTTATCCTTCCCCCTTTCCAGAAAACCTAATGGTGGAGCCCTCTCTACTCCATCTGCTTCCCTGGTCACTCTCACCCAGGGCATTCATTCTCTTTTGATAAGTACTTTGGAGGCCTTTGTCACAATCTGTTACTGCTGCATAGTCATGTACTTCCTTCTTGCCAGTCTCCCTCACAAGGCTGCAAAGTCATGAGAGTGCAGACCGCAGTCTGTTCAGTCCCTATGAAGCTTGTTGCATTATGAGTCCTGAGCCTCCGTTTGTTGAGTAATTTCATCAGTTAATTCATTTCCTCTAAAGGGTGAGGAAACCCCAACTATTAAAACTTATATTGAAAGTACAACTTAATTTGAAGGAAAATAAACTTTTAGAGGAGGGAGAGATAGAAGCCCCGGAAACTTGGAATGAGTCAGGTCTTACAGCTGAGTAGGGACATAAGCTTTGAGGGAAGCTTTATTTATTTAAACAGCGGTCTCATAAGGAAGGCAGAAAAAGGAATCCCCAGCAGATGACTTGGTTCCTATTATCTGCTGAGAGGAAGCTCATCCGGAGTGATGACTTTTTCCTGGCACTAAATTTGACCTGAAAATTATAAAATGAATTCATAAAGAATACAAAAATACCTTCCTTATGGGTGATGTCTTCTATTGTGGTTTGCCAAAGGGACAGGGTTTGCGAGAGGGAGCGAGTTGAGATGAAGTGGAATTGAAAACCTGTATATAATTTAGACAGAACTTTAGGCAAACTAGGAAGATACCCTGTGGTCTGAGATGAGGGCCAAAGCTGCAGACGTGGGGACCACTTTCGTTTCTGGCAGAATTTTCTCTTGTGGATTCTGGGGGCCTTCAAGGTATTCTGTGACAAAAGCGTCTCTAGTCAGATAGGTTTGCGAAACACTGCGTATTATATCCTGGCCCACCCTTGAAGATGTATAATGCATATCAATAAATAAAGATTCTGAGAACTGAGAGTCTTATAGTGAAGAGATGTTTAGCTATTTAATCCAGCCTTTTTCAGGCTTATTTGACCTCAGAAAACATAATCACAGAACTTCCCTCAGAGTAGACCTGAGTAATGTTAATTTAAGAGTTGAAGACAGCAAGAAGCACCAGCATGAGATCAAGGTAGGGAAACTCAATTTTCTTTGTAGAAACATTTCTATTGTGAAATAGAAATAGAATCATCTGAGCTGAAATAGATTTTTGTGTGTGTTTTATTATATTAGTGGTTAGAATGGGGGTCCCCGAAAAGTAAAGATTAAGGGAGTGCGGATCTTCGCTTTATGAAAATGGTATGGACCATAGTCATTTAATGGAGGAATTTAGTGGTTAGGAGGACAGGTTGCTGGGCATGGAATTCATGGTCTGCCATGTTTTAGCTGGATGACATAAGAAATTGCCTACCATCACAGTGCCTCCTTCCTCATCTGTGAAATGTGGGTAATAATAGCAATGACTACAAGTGCTCTTCTAAGAGTTAAATGTGATGATGCATGTATAATGCTGAGAACAGTGCCTGGTTCAAAGTAAGAGCTTAATAAATGTTAGCTATCAGTATTGCTGCTTAAAGAATGCTAAGGAATTAATAAGCATGGAAAGATTGGAGCCCTTCACTCGGAACAAAATATAGAAATGTCTAACAGCCAAAATGTTCTTCTCATGGGGCCTTTTCCAGCTTGATGCAAATGATAATATGTTTAGAAGCTGATGGGGTAATAGTTTCCCAGCTAGAGAAAAACCTGAGGCTTCACACAAGGAGAACCACATTGTGTGTTCCTGCAGTACTGCTGGGGAAGTCACGCTGATGACTGAATCCAAAGTCTTTCTTTATAATCTTTTAAATTACCTATTTAAAAGATACTTTTCCTATAAAAGAATCTGCATCTACTCAATTTACTCATGATTTAATTTGAGCTCTGTTTGTTGATTATGCCAGGTTGTTTTTGGTTGCTAGGCAGTTGAATCAAGAGATAGAATGTCTGGTTTTCTAGTTACTTCATACATGAAGTTGCATATCCATCCATCCATCCATCCTTTCATCCTTCTATCCACCCATCCATCCAGTAATTATTTATCAGTCAAGTACTACTAACCACTTCCAGTTTATGGAACATCCTCACAAAGCCCCCAAATGTGTTCTTTAGACCTCTGAAAGTTACTTATGAAAATGAAGGAGACTGTTCTATCTTAATTTTCTTATCCTCCTAATTTGTGAGTTATGTTCTGTGTACACTGTGGCTCTGTAAGAGTAATGTTGGAGACTAGATTAAATCTAAGACCTAAAATATCCTGTCCATAGGCAGAGATACACAAAGAATGGCTAATTACTAAATAATTAATAATAGTTGGTGATGCTGCTGGCCCTTATTTAACTTTTACATAAGCACAGCTGCCTCCGGACTCATCCCAGAGGCTATCTTTATCAACACTAGAGTGTGATAATAAATGAATTTCTTTAGGAATTTTTCTTTTTGGTTAAGGCACTGTCTCTGAAGAGTGTTTCATGGGAAAACAATCTTCATGATATACATCTTTTTTTATATATAGATAAAACTTTGGCAGACCCATTTTCAACCCTGGTATTCAGACCTCCTAAAATTGCTATCAGCTAATAGAGATTTAGGATACAGAAAGCTGGGAAGGCAGTCAAATTGCTTCCAGGCCACTGAGGCCCTGCATGGACATGTGTCACATGAGGGCTATGGACATCAGACCAATCAGGCCAAGCTTTTCAGGAAGCTCTGCTCAGAATCAGGTGGAGAACATTCTTAAGCAGTAGTCAATTATTATTCTTGAATATTAATTACAATTAGTGCAAAAGACTACCTCTTGTCACTACCAGAATTATTTTGTATATAGAGATCTTATATGAGCATGGGGAAACTTATTTTTTAACTGCTAGCTCTCTGGTAAACAAATTTATTTTTAAAATGCTGGTTCTCTGGTAAACAAAGTCATTCATTCACCAGGCATTTATTGAGTTAATTTTATGAGACATTTTGCTAGGCCTAGTGATAAAAAGGTGAATGAAGCATGGCATCTGCCCTTAAGGAAATATAAAATAGTATAAAATAGCATAGAGTTTCAACTTAAGTGTTAGATCTAATCTACTGATTGGTAGTGGCTGCCTGGAAGATTGTGTTGGGAAGAATTCTGAGGATTTGTCTGGACATAGTGATTGATTAGAACAATCTTCCTTGAGGGTAGGTAGGGGATAACGGCAGACATACCACCCATTTTCTCTACCTAGTCTTCTGAGAGACAGGCAGGCAGTTGCAGCTCCATATGTTAGGT